ACTTACCATTACAAGCAGCTCTTCAAGCGAAGCGTTAAATAACTGCTGTAGTACCAGTAATCACCGCTTATTATCAATCCTTCAATCATTCCTCTTCAACGTCCCAGACATGGATAAATGCCTATGACTTCAGACCTTTTGCAGTCATGAATACAACCACGACACAATCATATGGGATCTGTGTACAGTGAAGATTTTCTATACTATGCGAATACACGTCACTCGTCGAGTTGACTATAACCAATCCACAAACTTTCGTGGACAAATTTCATGGTGGCGTTGCAGTAATGGACGAGGAAGGGTCTGTTGCATTGATTGGTAGCGAGCTGGTAAGTGGTAACTGAGTTATGACGATGCTGTGCTAGTGTTCCTGCGATCATCAACAAATACCACGAATGCAGAAACCCTGGAGAAGAGGGAGTGCTCCTATAATCCTTATTTTTATTCTGCTCCCTACCAGAAATATAACATCTCATGTCTGCAGGTCCGGCAGTAGTGGCAGGGGAGGTATCAGAGGTTCATGCATCTGAACTTTACCGACTCGGGACAAGTCTAGATTCATCGTATACTTGATATAGTGGAAATTTGGCTATATAATGCCGCTAAGAATATTAATGCGCTGGATAGATCTAAAGAAACAAGCCGGGAGGAAATAGAACTGTACCAAGAGATCTCGATGATTTTCGATCTGGATCTATTAGCATAGTCCTATAGATTCCATATCAGGAAGTTCGTCATATATATTACTACGACCACCTGACTAAGACCATGACATAAGTATGCAGAAAGGAAATACAAAGTGTGAAAGAGGATTAGGTGGACGAGTAAGGAGCAAGAGGTGGTATATCGTGAGGCCACTACTGTACAGGTCTGGAGTTTTTCTACAATGGTTGGACACATGCTCCCTGTCACCACAAGCATTCAGTCAACGCACAAATGTAACGGCGTAGCGGCATCGGCTTGGTCTGGTCTACGGGTGACAGTAGTATTCATGCTGCCTTGAGTCACGTTTGGCACTTCTGTTCCTGAGAATCGAATGTTGCGTTTGATTGGTGCAAGAGTACCTTACATTAGTCGAACGCTTGTGCCTGACATGCTTGGCGACGCGGCATCCTTCGCCAGCCCCTCCACCGGGGTGGCTCAGCTCTCCAGAAACACGGAGCTGTTATTGTCGTATTCCACAATCCTTTCGCACTTCATACCTAAAATGCTGTATCCAGGCTTGATTGAGGTAGCTTCATGATACGAGATGTCACGCAGGTGCTACGTGATCTTCACCGCTCGTTCTTTGCTCCGAGAATGGCAAGTGGTTTTCTTCTTGATGCTAAGGTGTGACTGTGTTGTAGCATTCATCGCATCGTCGAAATATCACCCTCGAAGAGTGTATAAGTAGACCATTGCAAGACTCGAGTTCTCATCGCTACCACACACGCCAATACCACTATCACTACAACTCAGCACTCTGAAACTTACAATCACGACATTCTGCTTGTTATTATCGAAGAGATTACAATCAAACATGTATTCTGCACTCTTCACTCTCAGTGCCTTCGCCACCAGCATTCTCGCAGCTCCTGCCGCTCAACACACCAAGCGTTATCAGGAAGGCACTTCCTGGATCATAAATAATCTCGACTACTTCAAGTCAGACGGCCTCAATATAGGCCCTTCATACATCACTTTCTCCTTCAACGACACCTCGTCAGGCATTGCTTTGAACACTACCTGCACCCGTACAGCCGACAACGTGGTTGATTACACAAACTACTATCCCTGCGATGGCAATACTGCTTACTCAGTCACTGCGGACTATGGAGTGAGTTTCAGGTTCAATGGATCCGCCCTTGCCCTGAACAGGACCTATGCCGATAGCACGTAAGTTCGCCCTACTTGGTCGATATCTAATGCCTGTGTGAACTAGACAGGCTTGGCTAACAAGTGCGATCATCTGCATAGTCTCGATATCTATCCGTATGAGAAAATGGTTTCGGCTTATGGCGACGCCTACATTCAGTCTGCTTCAGGAGTTCCTGGTACAGATGGAGAGAATGGATATCACGAGATTGTGGACAGCCTTGTGGTGCCCATTAATAGAATCATGGGTTGAACAACAGGATGGATCATGGAGGGCCAAAGCATGTTGGCCTTTTACGCTGGATTTCGTGTGATCGATTCTCAGCAAGCCAAGGATAGCCAATAGTTCGTGGAAACTCTTGCGTGGAAAGTAGTATTGAAGAAGAGATTGCAATCCTGCTGAATGCTCAATTCAGCATACTCGAAAATATCATTAAAAGACTTCCGACATAGCACTATCAATACAAGCACATCACAAACTTTTGCTTTCGTACTTCGTACTCGGCGTTCAAAGCAGCCACCTCATTAGAGTGACCACCTTCCCTCTCCACCCAGGCCGGTCCTCGATGTCAACTATATCCCCTGGCTGCACGACATAGACATCCGTCTCGAGATCCATCTCATCCAACTTCACGAGTCTCGTCCGCTTCCAAATTTTCCATCCAAGAAACATCACGAGCATAATCGGCAGCTCGATATAGTAGCTAACGAAATCGACACCGCTGAACGTGGGGCTGAAACAGCTCCATCCTTGAACCAGGACCAACACAGTATTGAGGACGACGCAGAACCACGGTCCCCAAGGATAAGTCCAGTTCTTGAATGGCAATAGATGTGTTCTTCCTTGCCTCTTCATCGCTGCACGGAAGCGCAATGAGGCTATTCCAATGGCAATCCAGGCTAGTTGATTAGAAACACCGACGATATTCTGCAGCCAAGTCCATGCCTGTCCCGCGCCCACGAAGCTGATGCCAAAGAGGGCACCGCTGATGATGCTGGTGCTCAAGACAGCGACCCAGGGGACTTTATTCTTGCTGAGCTTACCGAAGAAGCTTGGCGCGTGTCCTTGGACGGAGAGGGTGTAGAGAAGCCTGGTCCCGGCGAACAGAGCGTGGTTTCCGGCACTGATCACAGAGGTCATGATCACGGCGTTGATGAAGCTCCCAGCAGCGGACGAGCCAGCCATTTGAAACACGAGCGTGAAAGGCGATGTAGCAGAGGTCTTCTTAGAGAGACCGGGAGTGTTGTATGGGATATTCAGGCCGATGAGTATGATAGACAGAACGTAGAAGAGAAGGATACGCCAGAAAACGTTTTTGACAACGCGTGGGAGGTTTTTGGTGGGATTCTTGGTCTCGCCAGCTGTGATTGCGATAGACTCTGTGCCACCATCTGACTGAATTAGTCATGTAGGAGAACACAAAGCGTATCTCGATCTGAACTTACAGGCAAATGAAGCTGTCACAAAAACAGATGCAAATCCGCCGATTCCACCAACAAATGGCGCATCGCCGACGTACCAGTTTGAGCCGCCAATGTAGTGGTGCGCTGTATTTCCTCCGGCATTGACAACGATTCCAAGGATAATGAAGATCTGGATATATTAGTGTGTCGCCAACAAGCAAGGAAATGAGTCATACAATAATTGTAACGACTTTCAGCAGACTTAGCCAGTATTCAAGCTGCACAGAGTTAGCCCCGAGTCTATAGTGACACAAATCGGGTCGGAAGATCATTTTTGAACTCACCTCACCATATGCTGCCACAGTAACAATGTTCGCCGCAACCAATAAACCCCAAAAGATTAAACTTAATGCCCAACCTGGGAAGCTTGTGTTCCAGTACTCAAACACCAACTGCAACGCGACCAAATCTGCTGCAGTCGAGACCGCATCATTGAACCAATAGTTCCATGTGAGCGCGAAACCAAAAGCATCATCCACGAATCGTCCGGCGAAGGTACAGAAAGAGCCTGCCACGGGGATGAAAGCGGCCATCTCGCCCAACGACAGCATAGTCAGGAAGACAAAAAATCCCACAATCAAGTACGATTTCAGCATGCTTGCTGGTCCGCCTGTTGCCAGTGATTTTCCGGTGCCGAGGAAGAGACCTGTCCCGATTGTTCCGCCGATTGCAATCATCTGGACTTGTCGCGCAGAGAGCTTGCGAGCGAGCCGGTCGGCGACGATATGTGGATGTTGCACTTCATCTTGTAGGCTCGGGGTGGAATCATTACGCTCCAAATCGCCATGCTTAGGAAGAACGTGATGAATATCGCCATCTATATTGATTTGTATCCCCATACTTGCAATAAGATGTCTTGAAGAATGCTGAGATAAGGAAGACCCGTGAACAACTCAAGCCAGCGCAAGAATGCATCGGGGTCAGACCTACATTATAATTATCAGAACAAAGATTTTGACGATCCTATCCTGATCTTTGGATAGCACGCAATACAGCAGGCTACCAGGGCTGACAATTTCAACAAGAATGGGTGCGTTGTAGTGATACTATTACGTTTGACCTTGAATTGCGTGCTCCGCCAAAAGCTTGTTAAATTAGGTGACATCGAGCTCAAATCACCGAAGAGATCATCGGGGAAGAACTAGTATTATAGTCCTTCTATCTTAACAGTCCTGCATACTTGAAGGCATATTGATGTGATATGATGCGTTGGGCATTTTCTCTAAAAATTGCGATACGGTGCCCAATGTGTTCTTAGTCTGATTTGCAAAGATGGTTGCATTAGAGTGTCACAGCGATTCTGCACCAGGCCGACTTTAAGCGACAGCCGACGATTGCCTCGTCTTTATTTGCACGTCTGGCGGGGCCGCCCGCTAGCGAATGTACTGTACCACGCATATGCTTTGATCAGACACAAGAGAAAGATCGTTTGCCCAATCGGATCCGTAAGGAAGACACTCGCGTGATTTCAGTGAAGAAGTCACATAGTCGCGTTGTCAGTTTTGGCTCCCTGAAACCTGGCCAAGAATGGCTACTCGATCTTTCTTTCAGCATCAACCCCTCGGCCTGTCTACGCTATCCATTACGATAACAGTCGCGCCAACACGGGAAAAAAAGGCGAATATTGAGCTTTTGGCTAACATCAAGGCAGGTAGCTCGAAGAAAACAAAAAAGAACAATGACGCCGGAGGCGGGGCTCGAACCCGCGACCTTGAGGTAGTTTTGATTACTCTTTGGTAAAAGCCACACGCTCTTCCGATTGAGCTACCCCGGCGCTCCAAGATTATCACGTGATAATGGCTGCGGAGAGACTAAACAATAAGTCCCTACAGCTTCACAGGATTGATGGGTACGGGAGTACAAGGTCTGGTGAGATCGCGGCCTCCAAGCGTAGTGGGGACTGCGATGTCTTCCACCTCTACGTGGTGCAGTCTAGGAACCTGATCGTTATGGTCAGAGCCTTGAGAAGACAGCTGGAGCGTTGGCAGTGCGGTGTAGCTGTTGTTGCCACAGCGTGGGCTGAACGAGAGGACACTGTGGCCCCAACGAACAGAGGACTACTAGCAAAAATGGGTATGAAAACCATCCGACGAACGTCTACTCGTGTCGGGAACGAGTCCCTCCTATGACTAGGTTGTAGGAATTAGCGGAACCAAGGCCTAAACGTTCGATAGGACACCTCTAGTGCGTTTGAAGAGTTTTCACTTAAAGGTATTCAGGCCAACACGCGAGTGGACAAGTCACCTAGGGAGCTTATAGTCAGAGATACTGACAGCACGCTATTGCAAATTACTATTGCTGAATTTACGCGTTGTTAAGGCTAGTCACGCTACAAGTCGTTAAGGCTACTATAGCAAATGCGTTGTTAAGAGACAGCTAGATACTGACCAAAACAGCGTCACAACTTAGTATTTGCTAGCAGGCAATGCACTAAGCATAACAACATTATAAAGCCTATATAGGCCTATTAAGCACCCAGTATAGATAGGAGGGTTTTGCCAAAAGTATAGCTCTACCTACTAGTGCACCCAGTCTGACTTATTAGGCTATAATGGAGTGGAGGGTTACTAGTAGCCAACCAGAACACAGAGAAGCAGGCGTAGGGAAACACAGAGGAGCGGGCGTAAAGGAAACACGGAGGAGCAGGTTTAGCAAATATATAAATAAAGGGGTGTTGCAGGGTTAAAGATATAGGTGAAAACAGAGGTTCCGCATTAGTTAATAAGTAGAAACGCAAGGGTTATATTGCCTAGCTAGGATTGTGTCCTAGGCAAGCCTACGAGACATAGTTAGCCGGGTTTTAGGAGACTAGGCACAGTAACGCGAAAAATGTCAAAACCTGGAGCGTAGCATGCAATAGCAGCAATAGAAGACACTGTCTATATAGCTTAAGAGGACGGGTGCGTATGTCGGTTTATAGATAGAACTAAGCAGTTACTGTTGTGGGTTGAAATAGGCTTAAGGAGCAAACAGGAATGGAGGACGTAAGGGAGGGCTTTGTCCTAGGGCCTGATCCTCAAAGCAGGAAGCGAAAGTGAGTCCCTCGGAGCAACAGTCTAACTAAATGCGGGAAAGCGTGGTGAGGAGTAGTCGACCTCACTTGTATTTAGTCTTCTAAATGCAATTCCATTCCTGCGAGAGGGACGACCGGGAGGGCGAAACAGGAGACAGTGGAGAGGAGTCGGAGGACGAAGACGAGGCCGAATAAAAATATATATATATATATACCATACACACACAGGACGAGGCGAACGCCGAAGAACACCTAGACAAATCAGGGGACACGGACACCCCAACGGATGGAGCTGCAGAATGAGACATAGACCCTACACACAGAATTGTAATTTAGTTAGCAGTACATAGTAGTTGCTCATGCTTCCAGTGGCAAGCGCATAGCGTATGGAATAATCAATCAATCAATCAATCAATCCAAGCGTAGTGTGACTCGCATCTACATTGAGCAGAGTTGGTTCTCCTTGGGAGAGCGATCTAGCTTTGAAGTTTTCCTCTATGCTGCTCTTCTCCAGCTGTAGATTGAACGACAATTGCTAAAGTAGTCGAACACTAAAAGACAGGAAAAGAAAGTGTTGCAGATAGATTGGATGATCTTCAATTTCTCCCTGTTCTCTATCTCCCAGAGGTCTGCAAGGCTTCAATAAAGACAATGCCTTCCTTGATCAAATCCTTGAAACTCTACATCTGCTATGTGTGATAGCAAGCCGGACTTATATGAGGCCAGGTCAACGAAGAATGAACTCAATCCGTTTGTTAGTGAGCAGTATACTTTGCCCCTCGAGAACACAAAGAGATCAGAAGAACGACTTTGAGAATGAATAAGACAGGTATATTAAGGTGACGCGAGACTAAGCAAGGTCGCTGCTGAACGGGAAGAGTCGCGTACTTGAATTTGCTGACGTCCTTATGTTCCATAGCCGTGCACTGAAATCTTTAATGACACCTGAGGGTCCTCTGCCTCTCCGCCGAACTCTTCAATCGGTTGTCTGTCACGTCGAAGAGTGTACTAGGGCGATTTGTATATGGAACCGGGGAGATAAGCAAGATTTGCTGAACCCGTGTCGCTCGGGGCATAGATGTTGATACATCAAACCCAGTTATAATGCGAGGGGTAGAGGACATCATTGACATTCACGACCGGCTTGTCTTTCTGGCCTTTCACGAGCTCAAAGGTTGCTGCGGATTTCGGTCTGGATGGAGTGCTCCAACTAGTACAGAGGTTGTGCATCTTACATTCGTCATCTCTGAAACGATATCTAGAGACAGGTTCTGCGTATTTGGAGTCAGTACGGCCGTCGCCAGGATTGCCGCCGGATTGTAAGCGGATGGAAGTATGGAACGTGGAACGAAATGCAGGCTATGATATCAGCCTTAGCGAGCACGATCACGAGGCTAAGAAGGCGGTAGAAAAAGATTTTCTATAGCCTAGCCTTCTTTACGTACCTTATATTTATCGGTAAACTGCACAGCAGCAGGCACTTTCTGCCCAACGTGCTACAGCGCAGCACAACGATCATGGCTTGTCCTCCAGCAGAGGTTGACGAATTCCGCCGTTTGTGTCAGGAAGGAGCAAAGAGACAAGACATGCTCTTAACCAAGCACAAGGAAATCAATAGTATTGTTGCTTCGACGCAGACAAATATCCCATAATGCAATTGGCTAAGAACTAGTATGAGAAGGTGCTTTAACATCCGACATGTATTTCACCTAGTGAGATATTGACTTCAACGCAAGATGCACTTTAACAAGCAATAGAGCCACTGCTACTGCATAATAAAGGGCAACGCAGCACCCTTACCACTCTTGCCCAAAAGTCTTCTTATTGTTCATTCTGATTCTGAAAATGAGAAGCACGTTGCAGGCGAAATACTCCAATCAGGCGACCATCTGCCACTAGGAGTGTACGCTGTAGTGTTGAACAACATCTAGTGACACAGGATGTCACTACTACAAGGGAAACGGATAACAAGTCGTGACGCAATTAGATTGGTAATACTACGCTCGAATATCTAAGAGAGAGGGAGAGATTCGAGCTTACAAACAATGACGCGTGCCAGCTGCTCTCTGGGTTTTGGTTGAGATTCGGGAGCGATGTCAATGATTGGACCCGGATCGGTACTCTCTGGGAACAATGACTGCAACAGCCCTAATAGTGCGATACTGTCAATAGAGGTGGCATCAACTGCTAATGCAGCTCGTGCCGACTGTCCACTAGCTTGTAGTCTATGGATCTTTTGCGCTTTGTTTGTCGAGGTTTTGCTTGCCTTAGTAGAAGCCTGTTTTGTTTTAGGACTATTCTACTTACCATTGTATTAAGAACAGCATTGATAGAACTACTCACCTTTTTTTATAGCGTTTCTAACAGCCTATTAGTTACTCCTCAGTTTTTCAGCCACTCTAGCGAGATCTTAGAACTTGATAGATCGAAGCTTAGAATAATTAAAGAAAAAGATAGCAGAGAATGCTGGACAACTTAATATATGTCCTAATAGGAGAAGCTTTATGCTATACAAAATACCCTTAATAATATATAGCTTTTATAGCAACTTATGTGCATTTAATAAGGTCTTTACACTTAATACGCTGTTACACAATGCGAGATTCGAATCTTGCTTTAATATATCTAGTCTTGAAATAATCTAGAGAACTTTAGATTTATATTAATAAAAGAGTAATGCTAACGAAAGTTGGGCTAGTCCTTTATAAAAGGCTATATTAAGTGAGTTCAATAGCTGATTCGACATTTCTGTTAAAGTATTTTTCAATCTCTACTTGCTTTCTATTAATGTGTTACATAACAGTTAAAGCTTTATTTATTTACAGCTTTTAGAAGATGCATTTGCTTTAAAACTTGCATTGTGCTAATACATATAGTTGATACCATATCAGTATTGATAGATTTGATTTACAAGAACAACGCACGAAGAAAGAAAGGGAAAAGATCTGCAAGCTCTGATCGTGTGTGGTCTGGGCTTCTGAGATAACGACGCGACGCGTTCAAGATCCTGCACCATCTCAACTGGTTTTAAATACTCCCCTTCGTCCACCTTCAAGCCATGTCTTCATCAACCGTTTCCATCACTACCTCCATCCGGTTGGTCCTTTTCATCGTACCCGCACCTATACTCAATCAAGGCTTCAAGCCCAGGCAAATGAATGCAGTCTTGTGCTGTCATACATCGCCGTAGTCTACCTACCCGTTCGTATCAGTAGCTGAAGCACATCGCGGCAACCAATCCAGTCGTCTATGCATTAGATCCTGCCCGGTCGGGTCGACTACCGTGCGTGACACCGCAGGCCTTTTCTTTTGGGGAGACTGCCTCTCTATGTCGGAGTTGTGCAAGCTGCCGCAGCCTTTTGCTTTTCGACGTTTGCCCGGTCGTGTCAGTTCCTCGACTGCCTTCATTTATCCGCCATCCTGGGCATCAGGACTACACCGAAGAGTCAAGGCTGCTCTTACCAACATTTCGAAGCCTGGGTGGGCGGGTTCGCATGGTCGTAATAGATCGAGCGGGGAACAGATTGAAGACATCGCGTCGAAGGCCGGACAGAGCTGACATTCTCTCCTAGATCAAATCATCATCACCACTATGAGGACCTTCCGCGACGACCCTGTCGACGACCCCCGCGGCGACATAGCACTGCTGGCCGACAAGCTCGTTGATTCCTAGCTACAGCTCGCCCACCCATGACGCCCTCTTACGAATTCGAGACTTCTTGTCGAACCGTAGATCTGAACACAGCGAGGGCTGGGACCAT